CTCACCGTGCCCTGTCAGGGATACAGTCTCACCGTGCCCTGTCACTGTGTTGTGGCCAAACTGGTTGTTGTTGTTATTCCCTGGGATTCCTGCGGGCGGCGCTCTCGGGCCCAGCAGCTTCCGGTGCTCTGGCGGTGGCCGTTGCGACCGGAAGTAGTTTTCTTTGAACGGGGAGGCGGTAAAAGATGCCGGAGGAGCGGGGAGAAACGGTTCAAGGAACAGAGCGGGGTCTGGGAATAAGGAAGAGAAGGAGGAGACACTGCAGCCGGGCCTGAGACACCAGGAACATGGGCTCCAGGGCCGAGCAGCAGCTGCTGATTGTGGTTTCCGTCCTGGAAGGTAAACCTGCCCCGAAAGAGACCCCAAGACCCGGGATCGCGTATCCCCCGAGATCACTTTATCCCTGGGATTGCGTATCCTGGGGATCACGTATTCCCGAGATCGCCATATCCCCGGGATTGCGTATCTCCGGGATCATGTATTCCCGAGATCTCCGGGATCATGTATTCCCGAGATCGCCATATCCCCCGGGATTGTGTATCCTGGGGGATCATGTATTCCCGAGATCGCCATATCCCCCGGGATTGTGTATCCTGGGGGATCATGTATCCCTGAGATCGCCGAATACCCGGGATCGCTGTATCCCCACTATCTCTGTGTCCCTGAGATTACTGTATCCCCGGGATTGCTGTATCCTCAGGATCTCTGTATCTCTGAGGTAACTGTATCCCTGGGATCGTAGTGTCCCTGAGATTACTGTATCACCGAGATCACTATCCCCAGAACTGTTCTATCCCTGCGATCATTGTATTCCTGGGGTCACTGTATCCCCAAGATTACTGCATCCCTGGATCTCTGTACCCCTGAGATCACTGTATCTTCAGGACCACAGTAATCCAGAAACAGTGCCTCTCCCGGATTACTCTATCCTTGAGATTACAGAACCTGGAATCACAGTATCTCCAGGATCATTTGTATCCCTGAGATACTGTATGCGTAGGATTACTATATCCCTGAGTTTGCTGTTTCCCCGGGATCCCTACGTCCCTGGGAACGCTAGGTCCCCCGGATCACTGTATTCCTGGGAGCACGATTCCCCAGGACCATGAATCACTGGGATCATTGTCCCTGAAATCACACTATCCCCAGCATCACTGCATCCCGAGATCACTGTAACCCTGGGATCGCTGTATCCTTGGGAACACTGTCTCCCCAGGATTGCTATGATCCTGGTAAAACTGTATCCCTGGGATCACTGTATTCTGAATCACCTGATTCCCAGGATTATCTTGTTTGACCAGATGGTTCACTTCCTAGCCTCATCCCGGGCGCCAACTTTTGCGATTTGAGGCTTTTCTTTCCTTCACTGTTTTCTCTTTTTAGAAATTGCACTTTTTTTCTAAACACGGTTTCTAAACAGTGTTGGTTGCAATCATGCTGTTGTGTTCTAAGAATGGGATTCTAAATTTGCTATGGGTTAAATGCTAAACACAACTAGCAGTGAGCCACTTGTGTTTTAAAAACCAGTCTTATAATGCACTGATTCTGATGTTTCTGATGGAAATTATAGAGTCGTAGAGGAATACAGCGTGGAAACAGACCCTCGGTCCAACTCAACCACGCCCACCAGATGTCCTTAACTGATCGAGAGTCATCTGCTAGCATTTGGCCCATGTCTCTCCAAACCTTTCCTATTCATATACCCATCCAGTTACCTTTTAAATGTTGTAATTGTACCTGCCTCCACCACTTCCTTTGGCAGCTTGTTCAATACGCGCTCTGTGCACTGCATGAAAAATTTGGCCCTCAGGTCTCTTTTAAATCTTTCACCTGTCACCTATACCCTCTAGTTCTGGACTCCCCGACCATGGAAAAGTTTTGTGCTTTTGACCACATTTGGCTTGAAAGTAAGCTTGGTACCCTTAAATTCCGGACACTCATTAACATCTGAGACAAAAAATTTCTTTTGCATCTCAGTTCTAATGAGAGTCACCTTAGTTTGTAATTGTGTCCTTATTTTGAGATTCCCCCATGAGTAGAAACATCTCATCATCTACCCTGTCAAGACCACACAGACTCTTCTATTTTTAAATAAGGTCATCTCTCATTCTTGCAAACTCTAATTAATAAAGGCCCAAACTGTTTACCATTCTTGATAAATCATCCCCTCCATCCTAGAAATCAGCGTCATGAATCTCTTTGGAAGTGCCTTTAATGTATCCTTTCCTGAATACAGAACAAAATTGTACATAGCACTCCATGTGAGGCCTCACCAACATCCTGTACAGTTGTAACAGAACTCCACATTTTTAAACTCCAATCTCTGAGCAATAAGTGCCAAAATTCCATTGTGCCTTCTTAATTCCTTGCTGCACCTGCAAGCTAATTTTTTGTGTTTCATGCTCAAGACCACGCGGGTCCTTTTGTATTGCAATTTTTTGGAGTGTTTATCAATTTAAATAATCTGCCTTTTGATTCTTTCTTCCAAAGTGCATTATTTCACTTTGGAAATGCATGTTTTTATTCTTATGTATTTTTGACTGTGGAATGAAATGGGAAAAGGACTGTTTTAAAATCCAAGGATAGTTGAAGGATTTTTAAAAGCAAGTAACCTCATTGTAAGTGCTATTTACTCAGATGTTTGTTCAAGCATTGGGGGAAGTCTACTTACAGACAAGCTGGATTCAAGACATAAATATGAATGAAGCTTTGACAGATAATAAGTAGCTGATTGGTCTGTGGTATTGATGACAGATCTCTCTGCCTGCCAACAACACTGTGACTGGCTCCCAGGTAACTGAATAGTTGTGGTTGTGAATGCTTGATGGAAAACCCATCAGATCTCTGAAAGGGAAGTTCACCCTTTCCCTGCAATGAAGAAATCACCTCAAGCCAGAGGAAAGCCAGCTTGCTTCCCATCACCAGTTGCTGTGTTTTAAACAATAAGTCAGGACCTTTATTAGTATGAACCAACCTCTTGCAAGTGGATGTACCTGGAGAAGGAAGGTCAGGAAGGAGGGGCAAGTCCTGACACGCCAGAAGGATCATCTCAGCAAGCCCTGTGGACAGGGAGCAATAAATTGCCCCCTTGTCTTTCCCTCTGCCCTTCACACTCATATTTTTATGTCTGAATGTGTGTGCTAAAGTTTTCACCAGCAGGTTATATGTTAATGGTTCATAATTGTTTACCTGGAATAAACAGTAATTTTTGTTAGACACTGAAATCTGTCAACCTGGATCTAAAAGGCAGAGGAATTGGAGAATTTGATATACTTCTTAAAATCTTTAACTGTTGTAATGATTCTTGGAATAGTGAGGCTTGATTTCCAGTGCGCTACCCCAGTGAGACTTAACATAACACTTTCCTGTATTGAATTTGATCTGCTATGTTTTCGCCCACTATTGATATCCCTTTGTAGATTTCTTCTGTCATCATCCCAACAGGCCTAAGGTCATAGCTGATCTGATTGTGACCTTGGCTCCACTTTTCTGTCTACCCTGATATCCTTTGAGTCCCTTATTCATCAAGAATATTTTCTACAAAGAGAACCAAAAAGCAGTGGAATTAGCTAACAGAAATGATGACCTTAAATAAGTTCCTTTCGGTCCTGTTCTGTATCTGGAATTGCACTGAATTGTTGCAGGTAGAATTACTGCAACTCTGAAAATAACATGTATTCTTAAAATCTGTCAAGTACTTTAGTTTTTCTGTTCCTGATCAGTTGCAATTAGCAGTAAACATTTGACCTGAATAGCCCGCTTGGGCTGATAAGTAGCTCATAACATTCATGCCATATAAGTGCTGGATAATGAGAATGGTCTCAGGAATGGAAAGCTTAACATATGAGGAACGTTTGAGGACTCTGAGACTATACTCTTTGGAGTTTAGAAGGATGAGGGGGAATCTAATTAAAACTTTCAGAATACTGAATGGCCTGGACAAAGTCGATGTTGGGAAGATGCTTCCATTGGTAGGAGAGTCTAGGCTCCAAGGGCACAGCCTTAGAGCAAAGGGAAGACCTTTTAGAACGGAGATAAGGAGAAACTTCTTCAGCCAGAGAGTGGTGAATCTATGACATTCACTGCCACAGAAGGCTGTGGAGGCCAGGTCATTGAGTAGATTTAAGACTGAGATAGATAGGTTCTTGATTATCAAGGGTATACAGGGTTATGGGGAGAAAGCAGGAGAATGGGGTTGAGGAACTTATCAGCCATGGTTGAATGGTGGAGCAGACTCGATGGGCCGAATGGCCTAATTAATGCTCCTGTGTCTTATGGTCTTACATTCTCCAACAAGAGAAAAAGAGTACATTCCAACAACACTGAAGAAATTTAACAACATCCAGGCAGAAACAACTAACTTGATTGGCATCCCTCCTTAAACATTAATCCGCCTCAACCACTGGCTCACGGTGCGGCAGTGTGCACAATGCACAAAATGCACTGCAGCATCTCCCCAAACGTCTTCTTTAGCACTTTTCAAGCCTGTGACCCCTACCAGCTTGAAGTTCGAAGGCAACAGATCTATGGGAACACCGCTGTGTACTGTTTCCCTTCCAAGGCATATACCATTCTGACTCTGAACTTTTTCGTCATTCCTTGTCTTGCATTAGATGAAGATCCTGGAATTCTGTCCTGAATAGCATTGTGGATGTACCAACACAAGATAGTCTACAGTACTTCATGAAGGTGGCTCACCACCACTTCAAGGCAAATTAGGGATGGGCAACAAATGCTTGCCTTACCTGAGATGCTCACATCCCGTGAAGGACTGATGAAAGCAATTTTAAAATTGCAGTCAAATTTCCCCAATTTTGATGCAAGACATTAGCCCGAGTAGAATAGCAGTGTTCCAGTATTTTGCAAAAATAGCTGATTCTCACTTGAGTCTAAATAGTGAGCATCGATAGATCATTTCAGTCAAGTCTAAACATTTCATCAGATATCCATACGAATACTTCACTGTGGTGCTCAGTGGATAATGATAAAAAGAGAACACTTTGCTGCTCACTGCACCCATTTTAGGCTATGACATTTAGATCAATTTGCTCCACCACTACATGAGTTGAGATCAGCCAAGCTCGAATAACCCAGGAAATTAACATATGATATCACTGCTGGATAAAGGTCAGTGATGTACCAGGTGGTGCACTTGTCCATTTGGTTTTCTCCCTCCTTGGTTGAAACTTTGTTCTTGCTTAATCTGGTGAGTGCTGAAACAAACTCACTGAGAACTGATCTGCACAAGTTACTCCTGTGATGGAATGTAAACTATAATAATACAGATTTGTGGTATTACAGTGATATTAGGTTAGTTGCAGTAACCTCAAACCAGTTCCCAGATTTTTTTTCCAGACACTTCAAATATTTCAAAAATTTTGATGAATTGGATTTTAATGTTCATGGTTATAATTGTTTTGAATTTGATGTGAGCACATATGCTACATATAATATTTTTAACACCATTGAATGATTGGATATTGCAGGTACGTTAGAAATTAAATTATTTCCTCATTGAGCGTAGGCCGTAATCATTTATCAAATATGTTTCTTCACTGTGCTGTCACCTAAAATCTCTTGAGGGATGAGTTTAGTAGTCTAATCTAGTTTCAACCAAGTGTGGGTGGGCAGCTTAAAGTTGTTTTATAACAGCACCTAGAGCTTACAAGAAAATAGGCATGGTGCTTAATCAAGCGTTGCTTGATGCCAAAGATATTCAATCATAAGCAATCAAATTGCTCATTATACATTGAGCTCTCTTTTCCAAAACGTTGAACAGTGCTGCATATGGTCTCTGAGTGAACTGTAAACCTAAATTCTTGTTCTTGTTGATTGCATTAGGGCGACATTTTCCAAAACGTCATCGCCACAAAATTGTGGTAGAAGCGCGGTTTGATGGAGAGTTGCTGGCAACAGACCCAGTTGAACACAAAAGTCAGCCCGAGTTTGTTACAGAACTTGCTTGGGAACTTGACAGAAGGTCATTATATCAGCACAGGTGAGGCATTAATAAAATCTAACAGAGAAAAGCTCTTCAAGCAAAGCAGAAGTTTGGTTTCGCTATTGTTATGCCTGTTGGCTTTTATTTGAAATGTGCAAGATGAAAGATGGTGATTAGACACACAACTCCGACCACAACTACTAACTGATTTGAGTATTGGTGAGAAAAGACATGTTAAACTTTTTATTTTGCACTCACGAGGGTAATTTGTCAGAATACTAAATTAAGGGGAAATCTAAAATTTATACTGTATAAGAGGAATCTGAAGAATTATGCTGGTAACCAATTTAGGATTGTCAGTCAGGCCCATAGTGTGATGCACTGGCATGTACTAGAAGCTACATATAGTATACACAGGACCCTGTTCTTCACAAACAGAAAAAGCTTGTACCCACACTACCTGTTTCAACTCAACAAAATAATTGATAGTCATTTGGGTGGTTCATTTTTAAGGGCAATGCTTTGAGTGCAAGATGAAAACTTCAACAAAATATGAATTTTTCAGCAATATTCAAGTTCATCAATACCAAGCTGCTATTACTGATTATTGAGCTTTAATGTGTTTCTGTAACATTAAGTAATATAGATGATTTTCTGTGCACTGATGAAAACGTCCATGCACTAAATGACACAGTCTATATTTTATTATCATTATTATTATTAGCTTCAGCAATTTATGAAATTTTTCTGATATAAATATGTATGTTTCCTTTCAAGGTTACAGCGCACACCCATCAAGCTATATTGTTATGCAGTGGATTCGCTGTCATTAGCAAAGGAGTCTGTGGGTTATATAATTTTGGATTTGAGGTCTGTTCAAGAGACTAAACAGGTATGTTGGCTTATTGTTTTCTCGATATTCAAGATGCAAAAGTGAATGTTCCAAAGTGTGCTGAATTTTTAAAATCACGTGGGCTTTGTTACCTGGTGTATTTGCTTGTTAACATTAGTGTTTTACTGCACATAGGTCAAACAGGCAAAACTGAAAATATATGTGATGCAAGAATATAGTCCGCATTTTTTGCTTGTGAATGCAGATTTGAAATTCGAGTCTAGATCTTTTTGAAGCAGTGATGCCTAGCTGGAATTAATATGGTCATGCCTTAGTCTGAGCACTGACTAAAAGTTTTAGCTCAAACAATATTTGGCAATAGTTAGAAAGCAACGTATTGAACATTGAAAACTCTAGTGAATGCGAGAGAAACTCGGCAGTTCTGGCAGCTTTTGTGGAGAGAGAAGCAGAATTTATGTTTCAAGTCCAGTATAACTCTTCTATCGGACTTGAAACGTTAAGTCTGTTTCTGTCTCCTCAGGTGCTGCCAGACCCATTAAGTTTCTCCAGCATCGTGTGTTTGTTTCAGTTTTCAAGCATCTGCAGTGTTTTGTTTTTATTATATTGAACATTGATCGTGTGATGTGATTGAACAAAAGAGTCATCAAAAATGGATTAGTTTGAGAAATTTGGATTATTGCACAGATTATGTTGGATGGCCTAGAGCAGTGCCTCCCATGTATTCTCTTGTTGTAACCCCACTTCAAGGCTTGAAAATTGAGGTGACCCCTCAGTGAGTTATGAAGATGGAGAAGACTCAGAGCAAGGGGAAGGAAGGATCGGTGCTGTCTTAAAGATCGTGACCCTAAAACTTTAGTTCACAGCCCCACCTAGGATCCTGATCCCCACTTTGGGAAGCCCGGCCTGGCGAAGCTTACGTCATTAAATTGTTGGGGCAGAGAAGAATAAGAGACTTAATAGAGGTGTTCAAAACTACTTAGGATGTTGATGAAGTAAATAGGAAGAAATTGTTTCCACACACAGGGTGTTCAGTCAACTTTGGACACAGGTTTAAGTAATCAGCAAAAGAATAAGAGGGAATGTGTGGTGAATTTATTTCACACTGTTGCTATGACCTGGTATGCACAATCTGAAGGACTGGTGGAAATACATTAAGTTGTAAAGGGGAATTGGATAAGTATTTGTTGGGGATAAATTGCAGAGCTATGCGTAAAGAACAGGGAAAATGGGACTAATTGGATCACAATTTGAAGGATCTGGCACCTTGAAACTGAAAGCATTATGTACTGACTGGTTCTTTAATAGGCAGAGATGGAACAAAGGGAAAGTAATTCTATTTTCCAAGAAAAGGTTCAATCATTTACTACTCTCTCTAGAGCTCTACAAAATTCACCAAAAGGGAGTAACATTAAACATCAAATGCTTGTAATTGGAGTTCACTGAGCAATGAGGAAAAATTTGGCTGCTGTTTAACAGCTTATGTCTAGTTATCACTTCCAGAAATGTTGCCACAGGAATTGAGATGTTTTCTTAATATTTTTATTCTGAACCTCTTGAATACAAAGAAGTTTTAATTCCTTACTTTTGTCACCAAATTTGTCAGATTATCATTTCATTTTAAATGTGTCTCTATCCATAATGCATCCATTTTAAAAGGTAACATTTCACCAATTAAATTCAGATTCCCGTTAGATTTTTGAAATTCAGCTTTTAAAACTATACTCATGAAGGTTGAAGATTAGAAACGATAGTTTAGGACACAAACATCACCTTTCAGTGTCATTCAATAGAATTGTAGTTCAAAGTCTGTCCAGCATCAATGTTACAAGAACATTTAAAAACAAAGCTGCCACTGGAGCTACCTTTTTTCAATTTACACACTGTCTTTTAAAAATGTTCACCATCAAGTGGTTGCTCTTGTTAATGGCAGTGTGAGCTTTGAATTTCTTGAAGAGTGTTTATTTTTACCTGTATTGCGACTATTTATTGTGTAATGAAATCTCTTTTGTTTCCTAATTTTTGATATGTAGGATGACAGCAACTGTATTTAAGCTATCATCTTGAGTTTGACTTTTTCCTATGTAAGTCGGTTTTTCAGACAAACTTAATTTTGATTATATTTGAAGCACATAAAAGCCCATTGTTTATAATTAATAAATTTGGACATTTCTATTTCTAAAAGCTGTGTTAGTACAAGTGATTAGATTTGACTTCATAGAAAGAAGTATTCAATAAAATGCAACACTTAGTACTTTTGTGCCATGTTAAGCAAACAATGTTGCTACTGTTGCAAATTGTGTTTAATTTGAAATTTTTGTTGTAGACACCCAAATGGTATCCCTTGCTTAGCAGCAAATACACAAAAAATAAACCTGAAATCAAAATTGGCATTATGTTGGAGGCTGATGTTAAACCACAAATAGAAGGTTTTAAAGCCAAAGAGGCACCTCCAAAAGATGGGAAATGTAAGTATATTTCTTATTACGACATGATGTTACTTAATTGAATATTATTGTTCGTATTTCAATAAGTAAAAATCATACTTGTACTGGAAAAAACAGTCAAACAATTCAGAGTTGTAAAACATTCAGCACTGGAATTTTAAGCCTGATCCCTGAACATAATACTGAACAATATGTAATTTAATTTCATATTAATAATCTTGATTGTGTATTAAATCTGTAGCTGAATATCTTTATCAGATAATGATGGAGGACACTGGTACCATTCCAATACTAACAGATAAAGCAGAGATTATAGAAAGGGAGGAACTTGGAACAATCATCATCACTAGGGAAAAAGTAGTGAGCAAACTATTGGATTTGAAGGCAGACAAGTTCCCAGGGCCTGATGGCCTATATCTTAGGGTATTAAAGGAAGTAGCTGTAAAATAGTGGATCCATTGGTTAAAATATTCCAAAATTTCCTGGATGCAGCAAAGTACCAGTGGATTAAAAATGTGCTTATATTACACCTTTATTCTAAAAGGGAGGGAGACAGAAAGTAGAAAACTGCAGATCAGTTAGTTTAACATGTGTTGGGAAATTGTTAGAATCTGTTATTAAGGAAGTAATAACACAATATTTGAAAAGTCAAAATACAATCAGTCAAGGTCAGCATGTTTTTATGAAGGGTCAGTCACACTTGATCAATTTGTTAGAGTTCATTGAAGATGTAATGAGCAATGTGAATAATAGGGATACTGTAGGTGTAGTATACAGGACTTCCAGAAATCATTTGATAAGGTGCCACACAAAGGTTAATACATAAAGTAAGATCACATGGGGTTAAGGTAATCTATTAGGTTGAATAGAGAATTGGTTAATCAGCAGCAAGCAGAGAGTTGGAATAAATGCATCTTTATCTGGATGGCAACATGCAACTAGTGGAGTGCCACAGGGCTCAATCCTTGGGCTCTAACTATTTTGCTATCTATATTAACAATTTGGATGTAGGGATAGAAAGTATGATAGCCAGATTTGCAGATGACAGGAAACTGGGTGAGTAAGTAAGTTGCAATGAAGGGATAAGAAATTTACAAATGGACATGGATGGATTAGGCGAATGGGTCAAAATTTGACCAATGAAGTTGATCGCAGATAAGTGTGAAGTTATCCATTTTGGTTGGAGGAATAGAAAGGCAATTTGTTATCTAAATGGAGAGAAATTTCAGAGTGCTTCAGTGAAGAGGAATCTAGATATCCTCGTGCGTGAATTGCAGAAAGCCAGTGTGCATGTACAGCCGGTAATAAGGAAGGCAAATGGAATTTTGGCATTTATTGCTAAAGAACAGAATATAAAGGTAGGGAAGTGTTTCTGCAGGTATTAGTGAGACCGTACCTGGAGTATTGTGTACAATTTTGGTCCCTTTACTTGAGGAGGGATGTCGTTGTATTGGAAGCAGTTCAGAGGAAATTCACTAGATTCCAGAGATGAGGGGTTTATCTTATGAAGAGAGATTGAGCAGTTTAGCCAGATACTTTTTAGAATTTAGAAGAATGAGAGGAGATGTAATTGAGGTACATAAGATGCTAAAGGGGATTGATGAAGTAGACATAGAAAAGATGTTTCATCATGTGGGGCAATCGAGAACAAGAAACATGGGTTTAGGATTAGTGATAGCAGATTTAAACCATAGATGAGGAGAAATTACTTTTCTCAAAGGGTGGTGAATCTTTGGAATTCACTACCCCTGAGTGAGATGGATGCTGAGACTTTGAGTAAATTTAAGAAGAAGATAGACAGATTTTTAATTAATACCTTGAAGGTGTATGGAGAATAGGTGGGAAAGTGGAGTTGGGCCGAGATGAGATCAGCTGTTATTATTACCAGATAGAAGAGCGCAAGGGGCTGAATTGCATACTTCTATTCCTAGTTCTTATGTACTTAGGTTTGCTTAGAGATTGCCTTTAATGTGGTGTATGCTAATCAGAAAAGCTCACTTTCTGTTTTATACTGAAGCCCATTCAGGTCATTTTTTTTTTCTCATCTTTCTTCTACATATTTTGATAAACAAGAAAGATATAAAATGCTGGTTGCATTTATGCTTTGCTCAAAATGGAAGTGAAATTCTCTTTTGGACCTCCTCTGTACGCCTGAATAATGTGAGTGTTTGCAAGGGATATTCCTTTTGAAATAAGGCATCAGTTGGTCAGGATGCAGAGCTTTCCTTAAACTGCTCAAAATAAATTAGTTTCTCTGTTTTTCACAATTAAAAAGCAATACCATTGTCTTAGGGGAGAGGTGAGATTCCTTTTTGTTGTAGTTTCCAAATCTATTCTTTTGTGGTCAAAGATAAAATCATGCTTTATTTTAACAACAAAAGACTATTGTCCTCAAAGGTCTGAACTGATTGTTTATCCACTGCAGTAATCTATACCAATGTTTCCCAAAGTGAGGGTGGAGACCCCAGAGTGGTGGTGAGCTCTTGAGGCAACAATGGTTGACTTCCGTGCCCCTGTTCCCTAAAGTTTTCTCCTCATTGTTCCCCACTTCACTGTTCACCAAGGTGTGCTGACAATTTTCAAGTTGCAAAATGGGGCCACATCAGGAAAAAGCTTAAGAAGGGCTGGTCTGTATTAAGTAGGTGTGAGTGCTAATTTAAAAAAAAATCTAAAATTGTTGTTGTTCAGGGAATTTTATTATCTCTATGTAGGATATCATTCAAACTATATAATTGTTCAGTTGAAGTTTTAAATACGTTTGAGGGAGGCGTTGGAAGCAACAGAAATTATGTTTGTTAAGTTATGTTTGTTACCTAGTTAATTAGTTGTTATTTAGTATTTTGGAAGAATTATATTGAACTTCTTACAGGAAGACTTGAATTAAAATCTATAAGTTATTCTTCTGGTTTTACGTACAATATTGTTTTGACAGCATAACAGAGTTGGTGCCCTGTATCAAGCAAATCAAAAGAAATATTTACTTAGCAATTACTGCAAGTATAATGTGGTATTCCAAGCACATAAAATTAACTTTACCATACTTGGAAGACCTCAAGGATATGGCACATGGCTTATGGATATACTTGTACCTGATATTAAATGGCATTGATCAGTTTAAAAATGACTGCTAGCATCACCAGGAATAGAATTTTTCCATATTTATGGCATCAGTTGGATTTGCCCCATATGGATCCCCATTTTGGGTTGATCCCTAACAGGTGTTTTAATATAAAACATATCATCTGTTTGTTGTAACAGATTAGCTAGAGTTTTGAACATTTCACTTGGTTTCTTTTACTTTTTTCAAATTACCTTACTGCTTTACATGCTTGTTATTTGTTTTAATGTCTGTTGTGTTTGCTACCTACAAATGCAGTTTATTTTACGGCACTTAAATGTCTAAAATAAATCAGTCAGCGTCTGTGAAGAAAAAGAAAGTTTGTAATGTTTTGGCTGTGCATCTTTCAGATGTTTTTTAGCCTTGTATTTGCTTTTGAACTCAAAACTCAATTGTTTATTTAAAATATTTTCAGTGTGATTTGAATAATGCAATTGTATGTGTAGAAAAACCACTTCTAACAATGTAAGACAACAAGGTGCAGGGCTGGATGAACACAGCAGGCCAAGCAGCAT